CAAGACAGAGGCTCCCTGAAAATATGTTGAAGTAGGAATGGGACATGTGGGATCAGGGCGTTTCGGAACAATTTCACAGCGTTTATCAGATTCATATTTTAATTCTTTTTAGTGGTTATTTAGCCTCGGTTCTTACGGTAAGAATCGTACCTTACACCATGAAAGAGATAGAAATCGTAACGCTCGTAGAAAGTGACACCAAAAATCGAGTTTGGTGCCAAACGTTGGAGGCTCCATCAGGTTTGTATATTTCTGAGCGATTAGTGGATGAAAAACATTGATGTTAGTATTTGTGATAATGTTTTCGATCTGTTTACTGTTGTCGAATTCGCGGCAATAAAAAGGAGACGGGGATTACTTTTCACAAGTATAGAATGAAATGAGTTTATTTTATACATTGGGGAATAATCTTTTTAAAAAAGGAATGCAATTGATTTAATGCTATCAATACCATTTAACTTTAATATCTACACAGTGTTGCTTGTTATGAAATTAAGTAAATAAAGCTATAATTTAAAAGAATTCTACATAACTGTTTTATTTTATGCAAATTAGTACAAGTACAGTGAAATCTCCCTTAAGGGGCATCTCTCGTCAGCGGTTTAGGGACTTCCCGGAATCAATTGTCCAGTGTAGTAGCCTAAATATCTTGTGATTAGATTAACAGGCTGAGACTGTATTAAACTGTAACTTATATACATAAAATTTGGTAGTTCTAAACTATTTGTGGATTAAAATGGCCCCTAAACGTAATGTTCTAACTTTAAAAGAAAAAATTGACGTAGTAGGATTTACCAGAAGGAAAAGCTGAGTGTGTGTAAATTATCAAAAAAGTTTAACATCAGTAAAAAAAGGAATTATTAGAATCGCAGTTAAGTTAGGTTAGGTTAGATTAGATTAGGAAGGTGGTGAAGGGAAAGCACATTGATGGATTGTTACGAATGGTTCATTCCAGCAGGAAGTGAAGGCATACCATTCACAGGTAGGATACACAGATACATTAGTAAACATATGTAGGTTAAATAATATTAATTTTTTCTTCTATGCGGACACTTTACACACTCATTTATGGACACTTATTGCCGGTCCCAGAAGTGTCCGCTGAAGGGAGATTTCACTGCATATGCGTTCATTTAATCGATCTGGAACCAAACTGGCTTCACTTTTCCGCAAACAGTTACGAATTCCCTGTTTTTCATGGTTTAAGGTTCTTACTTACAATGTACCACATCATATCTTTTAATATCATTCCACATATTAAAAAGATAAGTTCACGTCTGTAATAACGAAAATAGTCTATCGGAAAACGTCGAAACAGATGCCGTTATTAAAAAATACGGACGTCCTAAAAATAAAGTGACTTTAAGATTGTATTTTGCACTACAGTGACGACAGTATCAGTTGATGTTAAATAAATAACATTTATTGCAGTATTGAATCTGAAATGTTAGCTGTAGGTTCCTATTATTTTTTATTTAATGAGGTAGCAGAATACTTTCTTTGATTCTAACTGAATTAAAAATACAATAATCGTAGCTTAACTGAAAATAGTCCATTTTAGGTTTCTAAACCAATACCACCGGTATAACAAGGCCTGATGGTTAAATTAATAGTCAAGCTAGGTTAGGATAGACATGAGTCATTTTCCCAATAGTTATTTGATAGAGCACGTTCGTTGTAATGTAACACATACATTTAATCATTTTTAAAATAATTTCCTTGTTTTATAGTTGGTTATACCGAGACAAATTGTATGTAACTTTAGGTAATTTCACACCTATGAATAAGTATATCAACAGTTACAGTTAATTAATTTTGTTAAGGGCATCATAAGGTTGACGTTAGAGTACATTGGCCTTATTACTTTGGTGTATTGGTTCTACGTTTAATTCTCTTTGTATCTGCAACTAGTAAAGATTACGAGATTTTAGTATGTTGTTCATTTGTTTTTCCTGGGCACGCGTATCTGTGACATCAAAAGTTATTTGCAAAATGCAATATATAAATAATATACATCTTATTGCACCTTTTTAATACATTAGAAGCTTCCTAACATGCTGTTCTGCCTATTTTTTTAATTTTGCCAAATTTTTATATCTGTACCAAATTGATAATATACGTCCAGATCTTTTTAGAATTGAAATAAACACCTTTTTATTAAACTGCAGTCTATATGCTTAGATAGTGCATAGATTAGTAAATGCGATAAATTTTGGATGTGAGTTTACTCTAATATCATCCAAGCAAGAGGTGATTCCATTTTTACAAGAAGTTATAAAGCAAAACTTGGACAATCGCTTTAATTATTATTGTAGTTTTATGGTGTAATTTAAAGGAATAATAAGCAATTTTTAAAAATTATAAAATAAAAGAACAATTTCAAAACTACAAATTCAACTTATCATTAAGATATTATCCGACCCGATTCCAAACTGAATTAAGAAGTGTTAAAATGAGGAATCAGTTTCGGAATCCTTTGCAATAGGGAGAAATTTTTTCCATTCTCTTCTAACAGTAAATTATATCAAAGAGTCCTTTAAACTTTTTGTAGATAGAATGTTCAAAATATTATCAAAGTGTAATTCTTAGTTTTGGGAGTTTAGAATGTTTGAACTGTCAAAATTTGGAGTTTGTCACTAATCCGTTCATTAAAATAATTAAAAAGTTTTCATAACAGATGGTCGAACCTTGGTTGATTGAATTAACCTGCAGTGATAAATTGTATCATTATTTAAAAGTTTGAAACAACAAAACTTATTGTGATGTTCGGTAGTTGAATTTAACTGCTAGTACCTCATAATCAGGAACAGTCATGCTTGATTCACAATCAAATTACAAAAACTAGCCTAGTGATTTCTTGGAAAGAAATGTCAAAACCACCCCTCAACTCGAAGGCATTTTCGATTGTTTGACCCCATGGTGCAAATTTCATATACGACTATTGTCAGTTGTAGGTATCGCGCGTTAATAATTCTTCCATATATGTATGTGTTATAGTCAAAGGTAAATATGCAACCCTTTTGCAGAATAATTTTTTTCAGCTTTTTGCTATACCTATACTTGGTAGTCAAACGTGGAATGTGAAATAATCTATTGTAACCTTTGTGTAGTTTGTTAATTAATTTGGTCGCAATTGGACGATAGTACTCTAGGTAGTTTCTGAAGTGCCGAAAATTGTCCCATCGCCAGTTAGGCCCAAGCATACGTAACAATATTCGCAATGAGATATTCATATGCGGATGTGTATCTTCGATATCTTTCTCGTTAACTTTTTGACTTAATTTGAAGGTTGCGTATTCCGACAAAACGTACTAGAGGGCCGTACTAGCAGCCACATCTACACTCTTTAGGAATCTCCGAAAATGTAGACACTCGTTTCTGAAACTTGTCGGAGTAGCAGATTAATTAGTTTTGAAAAATTGAGTCAATTAATCCCGCAACCACCCATCTTACTCAGTTCGTCTATAGAATTGATACGTCCAAATGAAAAAGTCACCCGACTTAAGGCGCGTTCAGACAAAGTTTCTATAGTAGTTACTGTTATTTGACTATGACCCGTTTAGTCCATAGTCAAATGCCATCTCGATTTGAGTTTCGGCGTTTGACTGTGCAAGGCAGAGTCTCCTGGTATTAGACGAAAACAAAAACAAGGTCGAATCACAAATTGGTTTGGACTTTGACCAAGTCTTTTTGTCAGCCTTGATGATTGACTAGTGGTGGAGTTTCTATCTTTGACTATAACATATTCATATGAAAAATATTATACGCCTGTGTATTGAGAAAAACTCATTGTTCGCCTGGAATCAGGTAACTCAGGTAAGAAAGGGTTCGGATAAGTGCAAACGGATTTTCAATTCCTTGATGGAATTATGTACTACGTTTCAACAAAAAAGTTATATACATATACACAATTTTATGGATTGTACTGTAGTTCTTAGGATTTAGCGGTCGGCGTATATCGAAGCGGTGTTTTCTTCCGGGCTTTTTGGCCGTGGTTTGTGGAATCTTGCTTTTCCAAACGTTTCGCCGTTCTTTGCTGACGGCATCTTCAGTGGTGACTGGGCAGGTGCTGAGTCGTAACGTAAGTCAACACTGAAGATGCCGTCAGCAAATAACCAGGGACCACGGCCAAAAAGCCCGGAAGAAAACATCGCATCGTTATGGATTGTACTTCACTTTGAGTCTAATATATACACGTACGAACAAATTTCTTTCCAGTTATGAAACAATGGAAAGGAAAAAAGTAGTTTCTTTCGAAAACGTTGTCCAAGTATTGCTTCTACGTTATTATTATAACTACGGTATGAGGGCTTGACAGCGGGTGCTGTTACGACAGTCGATAGAAGCGTGTCCCATAGCCGTCGTACCATCATTACTTCATAGGTATGTACTTTGGCATGGCGTTACATGCAAATAATACTGTAATAGTAAATAGTAAGTAGGTAATAGTAGGTACTGTTTTAGTGATAAGCTCAGTTTTAGCAGATTAGAATAAGGGCTAACCTATTAGGGGCACAGCTTCGGAAGTTTGGGTTATCACATGAGCCACCAGCAAGGAGAAAACAGTCTGTGACAGCAAGATTGTCACACCTGCAACATACAGTGTGTCACGCGAGTCTGACCATGTCCTGTGCTGTTGCCGCAGGATGCGGTCTTTTCCCCTTTTTTTCTGAGCGTTTATATAAAATTTTCGAATTTAAAACGCGTTTCCTTTTAGCAATGTTAACTAACACACATCATAAATGTAATCCAGTACTTGTTTCTGATGTTTGCTTTTCTATGAATTTACTACAAAATAATTAAGACTGAGATCAACAAAAATTGTCACTAATAATTTCTTGGTCTCATAAATCGTTTTTNCTTATATATATATTATTTGACTCTGGAAGGAGCGGTACAGATTTTAACGTTTAACCTTCTCAATGACTTAGGAGTTATAATAATAATAATTAATCTTTTGAAACTCGTAAGACGAATATACGCCGATAAACAATGGCAGCGGTGTTCGGTAGTGAGAAGGTGTAGAGAGAAAAAACGTCGTGGGATCACGGCATGGACAAAATCCATCCCTTCGTAGACGTTACTTACCACGGCGCCGCTGGGAACTAAGCTAAGTGGTGAAGCAAGGATGTGGGTGGAGGGGAGGATCATGCAGCGGCGGCGCCTCCAAGTATCAACGGGCAGTCCGTAGGGGACATAGGGCGTCAAACACATGATGCTCCTGTGGGCCTAGCATACCTATCAACGGAACTGCATCGGAGGTGGTCGGTATCTTTTCAGCTACTAGGTTGAGAAATACAGTCAATGAAAGAAGAATGGTGACACCTGAAATGAAGATTTAAATTTTGATGGTGTTTGTGGCCGGTAGGGCAGGAGATCCGCTGCTCGTGGCGTGTACTGAATGTTGTTTGTGTGTGGTCTGGCAATTGGATTGTGGCGTGTGTCATACGATAACCGCGTAAGTGTATTAAGAATAACATAATTATAATAATCAATAAGTGACCTAGCATAGCCAGTGTTGACAAGCGGCACCCACACACTGCAAGGCAAGTTACATACATTTACACCGACAAATACCTAGTGTCAGTTTCTCGCCAGAATCGGGTGGTAATGTGAAGCCTAACAGAGCCATAGATGAGATGAGTACGCAAGGAACTATCAGATTGAAGAAGTAGTACAATGTGCGCCTTCTGATTTGGATGGTAAACGTTACATCCACGTATGGTTCCGGGCAGCACGCGTACAATATTGTATTCTTTCTGCCAGGCATCCCTGTCAAATAAAAAAAAAACAAACATATAGATCGGTTAATGATTGTTGGGCTTAATTCTAAATTCCGAATGGCATTTAATTATTTAAAAAGGAAGGAACTCATGGAACGTATAAACTACAAATGTGTTAAAATAATTCGATGTGGTCGGTATTCTGTCAAAACTTTTTGGATCTCATCAGCGCGTCGCAGGCAGTTCCGACAGAACACATACCAACTTTTACCAGCTGTCTTAACAGTGCGTTTTAGAAAATAC